GTGTGTGTGACCAATTCGGAGGCGGTTTATTATGGTTTCATCTTTTCTATTGGGTTCAGGATTTTTCCATGGGTTTATATTAGTTTTTATTTTGTTGAGTTTGGTGTTGAGTTTTCGCCAGTGAGAGAGCCATTTATTATTTGAGTGTAGGCCATCTCTATTATATAGCCATCATATAGGTTCATTYTTCTACATATTTGTATTATATCACACAATTAATATATATGGCCACCTGTATCGTCACCCTCCYGCCAGTGCTAAAGACTTGTTTATTTTTATAAATATATTGGTAAAAAATATATATATTCCATATTTCTAATTATAATATGTCACTAATGCGACAACCCTGTATGATATAAATAAACGAAAAACTAAATTTATGTGTGAGCCACCCTATAGCAACCATATCGGAATGAAAAGATAAGCTATAAACACCCTCCAAGTTTCAAGGAATCTATAACTTTTATTAAAAACTATACCAAGTAGTTTTTGAACCTTCTTTAATTTACAGGCAGATATACCAACGTTAATTTTTTTGTGCAGGTATCTTCATAGATRTAGGTATTATTAGTTTCATARTATAATATGACATTTTCAAGCAAATGAAAATAAATTTATCCGCGACTTAGCTGCATTAGCGTATTATACGTATGTAGGTATAACACAGTAGTGGATAAAGTGTCGTTAGTATAGTGTGGGCGAGGGTGGGGGTTTGTAGGACGTGGGGCGAATTTGATCGCGCGCGGGGCGGTGGCTAGTCCGCCGGGCAACAGGTGTCGGAGGCGCACGAGGTTTCGTTAAATTCGTGTGCTGGCCGTGTTCTACAATGTCACGTCCGAATATAATGAAACATTACTATATGGCGGTCATAAAGCCGTGTCATACTATCGTATCGTTATACGATCGTGCGATGGTAAACTGTCGTYATCACAATTCGTTACAGATTCGAAATTCGTCTTGCGCGCCGTATTTAGTGACTAGAAAAAGAGGACGAAAAAATCTGTAATGAAATCTGCCGCGAGTCCGTCGCTCGCGCGTCGCAAATTACGGWGTYGGCGGTGACTTTATTGACTTCGCGTTCGGCCGGTCGGCGGCGCGGCGCGGAAACGTCGTCGTAACTCGTAAGTCTCCGCCGACAGTGGCGGGCAGGACAGGCGCAATGCGCGCGCGGACGATATACGAGCACCGCGCGCACAACGTACGTGTGTGCGCGTGTGTTTGCGCGCGCGGTGGACGGGAGGTGGCCCCGGCGGTGCGCGCGGCGTGCGTGTGTCGTCGTCGTTGCCGCCGTCGTAGTCGTCGTCGTCATCGTCGTTGCTTCTCCGTCCGACGCATGGCCGGCCCGTATGTCGCTTGCTCCGTCGGCGCCGGCGTCCGTCCGTCCCCTCACTCCCGCTCCCGCCGCCACCGATGATGCCGCGCGCTACCATCGCCACCACCACCGCCACCTCCACGCGGTCATATTCTTTATGCGACTGCCTGCCGCTGGCGGTGGTGGTCGGCGGCGGGGTGKCGGGGTCCCGTAGCGGGCGGGCGGTAGCACAGGGGGCCGGGCTCTCTATCAGTTCCGAGACCGTAAACCATTCTCCCGCCCAACACTTCGATTCACGTCCCATTATTGTAAGGACAAACTTTTTGGAGCCCATAACACACAGCACACTTTATAGCTTTTATATCGTCGTGTTCCATTTCCACGCCGCTTCTGTATACATTGTATTTTTATTTCGTTTGTTTTGGTTCTCTGTAATATTATTATTACGTCGTCGTCATTATTATTTGTTTATTTTTTTATTCGCACACCGCGATATACAATATTTTAATATATTATTTTCCGTTTATTACATTATAGAATAGTATAATTTTTGATTTTTCAACTTACTCGCCGACCCGCCAAAAATATTTACGACAGACGTATATTTATAAACACGCCGATCCAAACGCGCGGAAAATCGTATTTTTAATCGCGTCGAAAAAATGCATGCTAGACACCGGTCGTTTTATATTTTAACCGCCACAGTTTTTCGTTGTACGGTATTCGATTTTTGTTAAAACAATTTTTTTTCAATCATCACTATAATAATAGTTATTTAAACCTCCGAGGTTTTTGTTTTGTTTGTTTTGTTTTTTTTTATTATTATTATTTTTTTTACTCAAAAACACACATTATTCTTAACACAGTTTTTTGACGTCTAATCGCATTTCAAGAGATCTCACTGGAACAACGCATATACTCGGTGAGTGATTATATACTATTTTTTATCATAATACATAAATATTTAATATAYGTTATAACTATATAAATGTACCTGCACATGTTATTATTATTTGAATAGTATATAAGTAACGATCTTTAACGTTTTTATGTCGATAGTTCAGTATAGAAAGGTACGTTTATTTTGTTTTGTTTTTTTTTTTACTCAAGTCGGTAGTATACAAAAATGAATAAAATATCTATATTTTGTTGTACCTTTCCACTATTACACGGTCTTAAATATAGGTATGTTGAGATGACCTAAGATCACAAATTATTTATAATATTTCAATATATATTCAATGTATGATACCTATCTTCCTACATAATATATTTATGCAATATGAGTATACCTATATCATAATACATTCTCGTAATAATATTTAAATCCTTAAATCTTTATAAATCTGTATTTGTTTAGCGTCTTTAAATATATAGAATAATAGTCAATTATTATAAAATGTACTTAATAAATAAGTCTACTATTGGTGGTAATATCATATACTTTATTATAGGTACCTGTTATAATATTAATTATAGATGATTCATTGTGTTATTATATACTAAATACAATTTAACATTGTTTGTTTCATTGCCATGACAAAGTCACATAGGTAATTATTATATGACAGTGTACTACGATAGCTTATATAGAACTACTATGTATATAAATAACAGAACAAAACTCATTAAACTATTCCACCATAATTCATTATTAAATTTTTAAGTATTTCTATGAAAAACTTTTTATGAAAATACTTGTACTTAACTGCCTATATGTATATGAAAAAAAAATATCAAATTATAAAATGTATATTAATTCATCCAATAATTTGTTAGTTTATTTTATATATATTGGTTATACTATTATTATACGTCATATATTTATTAGGTTATATAGGTAAATCACATTATTATAACGTTGGTATAAATATAATACATTATGTTTAAGATGTATTTGGTACCTATATAGACTTCATTTTTATATTAATACAGGAACTTACAGGTTGTTTGAACTTGGCTTAATAATGTAATGCAAAATTGGTATATAAAATCTATAATTTCTTGTTTAATAAAATTCTTTAAAAACCGTTTCAATATTCGAATTATTATACATTAATTAACAAACAGGTCAGTTTTTTAAAACTATTATTCATGTATAATATATTATATGTATCCAGTGCTTCATATTTTGCATCTAATATAATGTAATTATCTATATTGGTATGTCAAGTAGGTATACCTATACTTAATTTAATATCAATATGTATATATTATATTATAAACAATTTCAATTTATACTGGCCTAAATATCATTAAATATTGCAATACATTTTATATATAACTATAAAAATATATAATAATAATATATTAGTCGATATTCTTTATAATAAGCATATAAATAAGAATATTTACTTGAATACTCACTAAACCTACATTTCACGCAAGGATAAACTAAAAGTGAGTAGGTAGGTATGTAAGAGAATAGTAATTATAAATTTAAAATATTATATTTTGCAAAACCGTTTAATTGAAAAATAATAAAACATTTCACTGGATACTTAGTAGGGAAAATAATAATAATAATAATATACCTACATATAGTTAATCTATAATAATAATATGTAGGTAAGCAGTGAACGAGTAGTACACTACTATGTATATATTTATAAAAAAAATCATGTCTTCGCGACACAGCGCTGTGTGGCGGTATATATGTATATATAATAGTTGCTATATATCTGATGTTATTTTACACGAGAGATCATTATATTAACGATTTCAATCACGCGCACAGGTTAATTACCGTACAGATCATAAACAACGGCGGTGGTGACGACGGCGGCAGCCCGAGAGCACACACTTATAAACCGACCTATCCACTGTGAAGGTATATTATACACAGCAGCGGTAGCTGCTCGCCGAATATTTACGACCGTTTTTATTTTTTTAATGGCTCAATTTAACAACAATCGTGTATATTATKTATACGCACCTATATATATATGTATTATATAGGTAACTAATATATTTATGGGATACATTTAACGTCCGCAGCTATATAATAATAATAATAATACGATGATTAATCAGACTGCAGCGCAATACGTCATCGGGAGGCGGCCGATAGATTGGTTCCTCCAAAGCAATATAGAGATTAAAATTAATATTATTTATATCGTATCATTATGACATATCGCGGGCGATTCGCGTGGTGATTGTTGCAACTGCCGCAGTAAAGTATATACGAAGATCGTAAAATATAATAATATCTTATAAAGATCGACAGTAATACCTATACCTAAGCGGTAAACGCGGAAAGCTGCACGTCGGCGGTAGTCTTATGGTAAAGAGTTTATCGAAAAAAAAAACCGCATCATAAACATGCCTAATTTATGTACAAGGGGGAGTGTATGTGATTTTATCACACACATACGCGCGCATGTACACACACATCCTCACATTAAACACACATGCATGCAAACCGGCGGCGGTGGCGGCAACGGCGGCACGCTCCTCGGCACTTTAGGTCGTTGTGCACAGACTGTTTTACGACCTGGTTTCGACCATATTTTTGCCTCGGCCGTGGCGCTCCGACCAATTACCGTCAATAAAAACCCGTGTTTACACGTCGTTAACTTAATAATTTTTTTCTCTTTTTCTCTTTCTTTCTCTCTCTCTCCTACATTATTCGTTTCTCTTCACTTTTGTATATTATAATACTACTACGCGTAAATAAGATACACTATAGCCTGTAGCATGTAAATCTGTTAAGAAAAAAAAAGCGTCGTTTTATTATTCAAATCATCAAATTGAATACTCTTTATGTACTGTAAATACATAAACGATGTATCATGTATACACTTATTGCCGCTGCAAACGACACACTTGTAGAAAATCTATTGCGTATTTGCTGATAGCTTATAGGCAGGTATACAATAATGTTTGTTTAATGATAATTTTTGTCAGAAAAATCCTACTAAATATTTATCAACTTGTCTGATTGTTTATGGGTAAGGTCGTAGGCGCTTTGAGTAAAACTTAAAGTGTATAAACAGTACGTAGGTTTATACACATTGCGATTTCTTTTTAGAATCGTATTATTATTTAGGTAGGTATATATTTTATTCTATATTATATTTAATATAGTATTAAAATAAGAATTGAATTAAAACAATTTATATTATTCATTGTGTAATACATTATACATTTTAATATTAAATCTATATATTTGCTTGTTTTAATTTGAATGGCTGAATTAATTTTACCGAGATTTAAAATATAATTTAAATAATAACTGTTTACAATAATTAAAGGTGGATAGTTACTTACTCAAATTAAAAATAGGTGGATAATGATTAAATTATATTTGTTCTAATATGATMGTGTACTTCGTATTCTTATAAAACGAATTAAATTAATTTAAATCTTAATTTTTTAATAGATTTTTTGATAGCATATCAAACATATAGATCTTAAAAATTTTATTTTCAGTAAATATTTCTATCAAAACAATTAATGTTTAATAATAAATATAAAAGAAAATAAGCTCAGAAATTTATATATATTTTTAAATTATTTATTTGATACTATATTATTAACTTTTAAATTTGTTTCAAGATTTTTATGCGTTTGCCTAATTAATTCAAAAGACAATAAAATTAAAATTAAAATTATATTAATTTTAATCATCAAGTTTTGATATGATTAAACTATAGATTTATAGTTGCAGTAATATTAATAAATAATATCAACGTTTATTTGGTAGTTGTTTACAAGATAAATGTTATTATATATTTACCAGATATATTAGTACAATCTTTTTTACCGTTTAATAAATATTTCAAATGTTTTTAACGTACCTATATACATGACAAAAACGCTATATACATGACAAAAACGGAGTTCAATAATGTCACGCGTTTCAATTTTATACGGTACCTATATTGATAAGTAATTACTTATATATTATTATAGTTATTTATTGTTGTTTTTCTTTAATAATATTGTACCTACATATGGTAGGTGCATTATATTATTATTATACAACTGAAGGAAATATATTATTATGTTCGCGCATGATCTGCTGTAGGTATATTATTATGTATAGGGACTTTAAATGTTTTATACTTTGGATGCAAATAATATTATTTATGTACATACACAAACATTTAAGGGGGGTAGCCCAACCGGTGATGTGTCTTGAACTCTTGTGATGTAGGACCGGGTATCGGTGGCGGCGGCGACACTGTGATGGCGGGGACTGTACCAGTTGACATTCGTGTTGGGCGAGGAACGTGACCGAGAGTGTATAATAATAATACTTGCTTCCACAATGGAATACGAAAAAAAATATCAACACGCCATCTGACGTTCTGTTTAACAGTGGAACGTATAGCAATATTTATGTGAATTTAATCGAAATTCTCAGTAAATGTACGGCTAAAATAAAAATAAATGTGTGTCTATACTTATATATAACGACGTAGCATTATATTATATTACTGTACCTATATAAATAGTGTGGTCGTCTGAATATTGGATATTATACTTTAGACTTACTGAGGATAACATTTTAAATATGAAATACTTAAAGCTGTACATTTCTTATATATGTGCCGGGTACTTTTATTTCCTTTTTAATTTTGACCAGTGACGAAACGAACCTAAAATAACCCATAAGCAAACTTACAATTTACACACCCACCCACCGATTGTAGGCTATAGGTACCTATTATATATTTAAAATATTTTTTTTCAATTTACATTTACCTCCAAACCTTAAAAAAAAATCGAGAAGGAATTGCTTCTCAAAGACCACGGTCGTTTCGCCACTGATTTTGACAAAGGTTATTAACTACCCATATTTAGGTTGGGAGCAGGCATACATTTTAATGTAAACAAAAGAAGATTTTGAAGAATAAAAATGGGTAGTACGACAAATAGTTCATTCGCATCGCCGAAATGTCTGTACCGAAATCT